CTAAGTTGTGCTGATAATGTAGTGATGTGTCGATACGTATTGATAAATGGCTAAATGTGTGCAGTGCAAAAAATCCCAAAAAATCTCCCATTTGGTTTAGCATCAACTTAGCCTAACTCGCACACGTCCTAAGGAATAAACTAGTAAAAATCTTATAAAACAAGACGTTGTCACGTTGTCAATAAATGGAGGAGTTTATTCAATAACGAAACCACGTTATATTCTGCATAATGACAGTGAGACACTTTTGAAATAAAAGAATTTGCTTTAGTTATAAATCCGTTGACAAGTCACCTCAACTTCTCCAATCAGTTACATAAAATCAATTTATTCGTACTATTGGAATACCGACTCTTTTCACAGCAAACAAAGATGACAATTAAATGATGTGAGCGTTAAAGTAATAGCATATTGTCGGCTTCTAAAAAGCAAGCATTGATGCTAACAAGCATTGATGCTGAATTACACAAATAATTACAGGGTTAGACGATTGAAGTGTTATCTAAGTAAGCATTTGTGTGAAATTATTTTTTATTGATTCAGATTACAAAAATTTGTGAAAATAATCAAAATTTTAGAATCCATTCACTTTAGCTCCACCTTTGACTATGACCTTTAAACTATTAAAAAATGTATTGTATGTTTCACGAATGTGATCTTCCGGTATTTTGATCTATTTCTGAACAATGGCCCACTCTTTAGCGCGTTCATAATGGCATATTTTTTAATCCTCACCTTTTTTTTCAAAATGGCTCAGATAAAATAGTCCATCGGATTTGCATCTGGTGAATTCGAAATCCATTGTGTGGAACATGATTTTTTAACCATTCTTAGTTCGCACGAGCTTTATGGGACCAAAACTGATGCCGAGTCTTGTTGGAACGTCCATGATTTACGACCGAAGTGTTCGCAGGCCCACGGCTCTAAAACATCTTCTAAAACATTTCTCCGATAATAACTCGCATTGACTTTGACACCAGGCTTGATGAAAACGAGCGTCCATCGGCGGTCACAGCTGCCCATACCATTACTTGAGATAGAAAATTATTTCGGGTGGCAATTCGTAGTCTCAAATTTTCGCAACCGTGTTCAGTTAAGTAAACACGATCATTTTGAGAGTTTATAAACAGCAGAATGGAGAAATTTTTCTCATGCTTAGAAATTCGCCATGATTGTGCAAGCGTAACTACTCCTTTGCTCTTTCGAGTCTAACATTTTGTTGCTTTAGTATAAGATCTTGTGCCTTTTCAAACTTGTAAGGCTTTACCTTGAGCTTATTTTGGAATATTTGTCGGACGCATATTATATTTATATATAACGTAGACCTATTATATTCTATTCTAGTCTTCATCATTAAAAATAATTCGGGACTTATTTCGTGTATAACGCGATTACTAAAATATTTGCAGGTCTTATATGAACATACTATAGACTGTAAATTTAATATGGTTTTGATATATTTAATATAGCTACTCATTGATTTTTTCCTAGTAATTTTAATTATCTTTTTATATTATTTTTTATGTTATATTCCATATGTATTCCTTGGTGATAAAACAATGAATTTAGCAACGCACTGCGCCCTTAAGGTGTTACAAATATTTAGCCCAAAAATAAATTAGTATCAAACCCTACTTTTTTTCTGAATCGGTTTTGTAACGGTTTAGTATCCTCTATACTTTTCACAGAGCAGAAGTCTTGTATAGAAATTTGGATAGTAGTACCATATAATTGTAGTAAATTGATATGTTGTGTTATGTGAAATCTGTGTGAATTATTTGTGTGTTGTCTTCTATTCTCTATCCCTATGTATGCATTTTAACCCCGGTAACAATTTGCCTGATGTGATTGCCATTTGTGTTATTTAATACAAAAATATTGATTAAAATATTTCGTTGAATTTTTCACAAAATCACAGGCGGCAAGGTTAAGACGTCAAGGATTTGCTCAATCAAAGGTAACATAACATAATGGAATAAAAGAGCATGTAAGCAACCTATATGTAGGTACCCTGGCTAGTAATGTACTGTATTTGGAAATATTTTTTTATCAAAATATTTTTGATTTTTTGTTATAGAACTTACTTTGTGGTGATTTCTGTTTAATTTTTTGATTTAGTTTATTTAAACAGTTTTGTTTAAATTTAATATTGACTCTTAATTTATATGTTTTATTTCATAAAATTATCTTAACACAGCCACGTTTATTATATTTATTTTCTATATTATATATATACTGCGTTATATTGCATAGTAATTGTTTCATTGTATACATTTTACAGAACAATAAAGAAAATAACAAAGGTACACCACTTCGTGATGCCCCACCACCAACACCAATTACCAAAGGCATAAACTTAACAACCACACCAATTGTCAAGAAGGAAAAACGGCAGACAAGTTCAAGATATAATGTCTCAAAAAATTGCGAACTAACACCACTGAATCCTCTGAATGAAAGTAAGTTAAATGATATTAAAAATTATTATTCATAATAAGTAATAAAACGTTATTTTTCTTTATGTCTATATTAATTTTATTCTTTTTTTTTAATGTTTTCTTTTATAAATAATTTAAATATTTTTGAAATTGTACGCATAGTTTTTACTCGTTCAAAATTAATTTTCAAAAATACTAGTTCAAGTTAGAAATAACAATTTTACTCACCCTTCTGTTGTGCGTGTACAACTCTGCTCTCTTAATGAAACCCTCTTGTGAAACCACATCAGCTGGTTTGTTTCACTGGTATATATTTGTTTTTGTTTGTATTTGACGTAAATTGTTTGTTTACTCCTTTTAAAGCAAGTTCAGAGCGGTCGACCAAGCATTGGGCTCCTGTGTGAGTGCGCAATTGAAGAGAAACTGCAAATGTAACGAGTAAAAATATAAGGTTTAGTACGGTCAATAGATATTAGAGGTGGTGAAAACACATGTGCACACATCTTATCTATGTAGAATTTTATTCATTCTGGTACTGTGGAAATAATGCTAGTTTTAATAGTAATAATATAAAATTGTTAGCTTATTTATTTTCTTAATAAAATTTAATATACTAAACTTTTCATTTTAGTAATTTGTGTATTTATTGTTACACGTATAAAGTTAGTTGCTGTCGGGACTGAAAAACTGCATTTTATTTTCGAGGTAGACGAGTACCTCTGGAACATGGTCCTGGTCATTTATTCAACTTACACAAGGTTATCAAATTGCATGTGTCTATGCGAAATAAAGACAAGCTCTCTTATAGACATATGGTTGGTCATTTCACCATTTTTTAAGTTTATAAATTTGATCAAGCGTTTGCATTATAAGCGATAATATTGCGGCATTAAACAATTATAAGAAATCATTGGAATAGTATGGTTCCAATCACATATTGACCAATTGTAATAAACCTTGTCTAACAAGATTTACAAATTTTTAAAGCCTGATTCATGTCAAGATAATTGATTGAAAACATTTCAGGCAATCATTTGCAATTAAAAAGCTGTATCAATTAAATTCGTGATCTCTGTTTAGTCACAATAGATAAAAATGGAACCGTTGAATTATTTAAAAATACTATTATCAAACTTTATACATGAGTTATTGACTTACTTCTGCACTTGGGTAAATATGTTTCTGTAGAAAAGATATATATTCATTTATAATCGCTACTGTCACAATGAATTAAATCCAATATAAGATCCCATTATTTCATACAATACAATCGCTATATTGCTATATTATTAACTGATCTATTTACATAAATATTTACATAGATATTATACTATCTTACTGTTCAAAACATAATATTTTTGCTTCCCTAATTTTGCATTTCTTTCAGTTATTTACGCAACTGTGTGCTCTACTGAAATCAAATAACAATTCCTTATCTATCAAACATTCGTCGTTGATCTCCATTTGTTATTGGAACTTCGATTATTTTTTACATAATGTATGTAAGGTTGTTAAATCTTTATTGATCGTAATATTTTGAATATATTTTATCGTCTTAGATCTTTGGATTTTCATTTTTAGAAACTAGAAATGTTGAGATTCAATGGATGTTGTTTTA